TTCAACAGGTAGGAACAGGACGTGGGGGCGTAAAGGCACCTTCTGAAATCATCCGGCTAAACCCTCTCATTTGACAGTCGTGAACCTGAATTCAGACGTGCCGGCCCCCCGGCAGTCAACAGCAGGGCTGGGGCTCGCGTGGCCTCCGGTTCCGGCCCTGTGAGCAGGTGGGGCTCAGAGCCGAGGGCCGGGCCCCGGGTGTGCCCAGCCGACCCTCCCCGGCTGTCCCGCAGCCCCTTCCCGATGCCGCTGGTGGGTGCCATGGGTCTGCTCGTCGCTGGTGGGAAAGGAAAACCTCGCTAGATGTGTTCCTTCTTGGGCAGGAATCACACGGCCAGTAATTCGTAGGAATGTTCAGTCGTGACCCCGGCATTGAAACCCCCTGGCGGGTCCTCAGGTGCAGGCCGTGCCCCGACATTGGCGGCCTCTCTGTATTCGCGCTCCCATCTGGCTTCTTTCTGGGGCACCCCAGCTGCAGCAGCAGAGGCGTTGTGTAAGACCGAGCCCGAGCGTCAGAAACGCTGAATGGGCAGGACTGCATCTGGTCCGCAGGCACCAGCCCCTCCACCAGGGCTGCGATGTGAGTGAAACAGCCCACCCTGCAGGAGTTCACACGCCGGCTGGGTGTAAACCGCGTAAACTCTATTATCTCATGGAGAAAGGTTGGGATAAGTGGGGGGCGAGGGGGCTGTAAATAGGACCCCAACTATACAAAGTGCAGACGTGCAGGGTGTGGAGTGACCGCATTGGTGGTGGGATACTGGACACTCTCTTCTTCGCAACATCAGCACCTGAACTACCTCTAGTTAAGAAGCAAACCTTCGAGAGAAAGTTGGTGTCGTCAGCCACCTTGGGAAGGAATCCTAGGACTGTGCAAGTCCTCCCCCGTCCTCCCTCCCCGGTGGGCTCCCTGTGCCAGGAAAGCCCGTTTTCCGTGGCAGAGCTGTCTTCACAGGCCCTGACACCGAGCTGGCGTTCATGCCTGGCCCTGCACCCAAGGAGGGGGTAGAGTTTACAGGAGAAGCTCTGAGCTCCGAGTGCTGGACCTGGGTCGTAGGGCCTGCTCGCCTGTCTGGTTGTCTGGCTTTGGCTAAGTGGCTTAATGACCTCTCTGACCCCCCCGTCTCCTCATCTATGCACTGAGATGATACCACTCAGCTTTCCTGGCTGCGTGGGCTGCTCTCGGGACCAATGAGGCAGCGATTGGAACATTTAAGGACGCACCAATGGCCGATGGGTGCCGGCTCTGCTGTTGACACCCTGCTTTTTTGTGATGACTCAGGACCTTGGCCTGCACTTCTGAAAAGGGGTAGGGCTGGGGGTTCAGTGAGCTGCTTTTCGGTCGGCTCACATCTCAGGAGTTTTCCCAAACCTGGGGCTGCTCTCTTTTGTCCGGATGCTTTCCTGAAGGTGACGTCATCAGCCCAAATCCTGAAGCTTGCCTTCCCCACATACCCTGATGCTCCTCTGCAGGGCATGGGGCCAGGTCTGATGACAAGCCCCGAGTATAGAGCTGTCTCTTGGCAGAAGCCGCGGTGGTGCCTCAACGTGGCCCAGGGAAATGCCCACTCGGCACCCAGGGGCCTGCCTGGCTGGCTGGCAGGACACAGGAGGAGAGTGTGAGGCTCTGGGGGGAGTTTGAAGTCGAAAACCCACAGCCGGGACAAGCTCCGCAGCCTGGGCCTTCTGCAAGGTCAACCCTCCTGAGCGGCCTGGTCCCCATTATTCCAGCTGGTAATGGCCCTGTGGCCGGAGCCGGAGATGGCCCACAGCAGCCTCACGGTGCACGCTTTCTCCGTGCATCCAGGAGGTTAGATCAGGGACTGCGGGGTGGGAGCCTTCCAGCAAAGGCCTCCACGCGGGCCAAGGGGCTTCCCTGCTGGGCTGCTGGACGGAGCAAACACAGCGCCCGGAGTGGGCGTGTGGTGGTGGCTGGTGGACGCGATGCTTTCGCTGGCTTGGGAGCAGCTGATGGAGCCGCCACGGCAGCCTGTGACAGCAGGGGCCGGCGTCCTGGGCTCGGCTCTTTTAAGACTGTCCTGACGTGCGTCACTGAACCGCCAGGGCCTCGGTAGCGAGAGTGTGATGGCTCTCAGGGCTCTTGGGGGAGGAACACATGAGCGTTTATGAAAAGGCTTCTGCTTGTGGAAACTTGTGCTGAACAAACGTTCGAGGGTGATGATTACTGGAGACCAGAGAGGACTGTTCTCGTTAAAGTGGGAGGCAGGTGCCCCGCGCCTGGCTGCTCCTCACTCCCCGTGGACTGAGCTTTCTCGCTGGCCGTCAGTGCACATGGGCAGCCCTCATGCTGGGACCAGGGAAGGGGGTGCCTTTTCCAGGGGTTCATTCAAACACTTTTGCCACCTGCCATATGCCGGGCCGGCAGGCTGAGGACAGAATGTGAGCAGCTCCTCCTGCCCTCCGAGGAGTGAGTCTGAGAAGTGGACTGAATGTGGAATGCAGCCCATGGCCCGGGGGCATCTCAAGGACGGTGGGAACACAGAGAAGAGAAGAGTTGATTTTGCCCAAGGATGGGGACCAGCTGGGCTTTGAATTGGGCTTTGCAGACACACAGGAGTTCTCTGACCCTGGATTTGGGGCTGGGGGTAGAGGGCTGGGGGAGGCGAGGGTGGGAGCGGGCAGAGGACAGCGCTGAGGCTGGGGCTGTCCCGGAGGGGCTGTCCCGGGAATCGGTTGAGAGGCCTTGAACTGAGGTGTCTGAGCAGTTAAGACAGCGTTCCAGACAAGCCTTGTTTGGGAAAACCACAAAGGGTCTGCCTGGGCTGTTGCTAAAAGAAGGAGCCAGGGCACAGGGCACAGGGCACATGAAAAACAAGGCTGCAGAGACCAGCACGTCCGTGGGGCCCGGCTGAGTGACTTACCCCAACCATCACTGGTGGGAAGCTGCCAGCCGTCTGCCCGGGCGCTGGCCCAGTCTCTGTGATGCCTGCACCCACCACAGACCAATCAGCACCCGTGCCCCAGGAGCTCTAACGGGCAGCCAGGCCTGAGCCGCGGTGCTGCCCGTTGGCTGCTCCCCAAGGCTGGGCCTTTCCCCTCCATTCCCGCTCCCTGTTGACTCCTCCTCTCCCTGCCCCTTAGCCCCGGCCTCTTCTTTCTTCTTCCTTCCTCCCCGGTGACAGGTGACCTGGTGACAGGTGACCAGAGGCAGCCACCTCCTGTTCTGGAAGGGAATGTGGAGAGTGGTCAGAATTTCTGAGTGGTTAGTGCATCGTCACCCACTTCTTCCATCCATTTGCCATCCATGCCCCCTTCCTAATGGTTGATATAAGAGGAGGATCAGGATGGGGAGGTGACACAAAGAGCCATGTGCAGCCCCTGGAGGAGACAGATGGGCACCTGAGTGCCACTGTCATTGACCATGTGCTCTGTTTCCATCCTAGGACCTGAGCTCTTTTGCCATGCCACACCTGGATGGAGACCTGGAGAGTTCAGAAAAGCACTCTTCTCATAAGGTAAGGTCACCTTTCTCAGAGCTCACCTGAGGTGCCAGCAAGGCAGGACTTCCTTAGCAAGTGCCCAACACTTCTACCTGCATATGCACCGTGTTCCCATCTGCACATGCACCTGTGCTTCCACCTGCACATACACCTGTACTCCCACCTGTACATCCACCTGTGCTCTTACCTGCACATGCAGCTGTGCTCCCACCTCCACATGCACCTGTGCTTCCACCTGCACATGCACCTGTGCTCCCACCTGTACATCCGCCTGTGCTCTTACCTGCACATGCAGCTGTGCTCCCACCTCCACATGCACCTGTGCTTTTACCTCTGCTCCCATCTGCATATCCACCTGTGCTCCCACTTGCACATGCACCTGTGCTCCCATCTGCATATCCACCTGTGCTCTTATGACTACCTGTGCTCCCATCTGCATATCCACCTGTGCTCTTATGACTCTACTCCTACCTGAACATGCACCTGTACTCCCACCTGTGCTTCCATCTGCATATCCACCTGTACTCCCACCCGCACTTCCACCTGCAGGTCCCCCTGTACCTGCTCCCAACATCTGGTGGTCTCCTGGTGCAGCCTGGAGACAGGGCCTCAGGTGAAAGCTGTGTGGATGGTAGGTAGAGAACTGGAGGGGACGCGGAATGCAGCCTTTGTTGGGGTGCCTGTCAGACCTATGACCACTGTGAGTTCTTGGTCTTTCCTTGGTCTCCTCACTCCTGTCCCAGAACCATCCCTGGAGGGCAGACATGGCCTCCTCCTGACTCTAGAGAAGGTCTGCTTCCCATTAAACTCCTCGAGCTACATATGGGCCAGGACTGTGCCAACTGCGCCCCTTGGGTATATCCCGTCACCTTCGCAGCCCTGTGCCCCGGCCTGGTGTCCTCATTGGGAAGGTGAGGACACCGAAGCTTAAGGCACCTGTCACACCTCTAGAAATAGCTGGGATTCAAACTCCAGTCCTGTGTCCAGAAGCCTTGCTGTGCCACCCTGCTGTCGGGTCAGCTTCGTTCCCACTGCCCGGCCACATCCACAGGTACCCACCACCCACCACGCAGAGCTTCTCCTTGTTAATTATTCAAGGATTAGACAAAACTCGGGAATCCTGAGTCCCATAGGGAGGTGGCTTGGTGACGAAACTGGATACAGACAGAGAATCTAAGTGCATTTCATGTTAAATGGTTATAAAAGAAAAGCGCGGACCCTGTGAGGGGTGAGCTTGAGCTCTGTGGTTCCTCCCGGGCACGGCCTCTGCATCTCCCTGAGGCCACGCTGGTCCTCCGTGCGGCCAGGAGTGGCAGAGGGTGGGCCTGAGGTGGAGGGTCACTGAAGGTGGAGTCCCCACGAGGGCATCACAGCCTTTAAGGAACCTTGAGCCCTGTTTGGGGGCGCCCTCTGGTGGTGGAAGAACTCAAAAGGGTCATGGGTCCGACAGGCACCCCGAGTGGACAGAGGCCCGTGGGCACGGAGGCTGCCTGCCTGCCTGCCTCTGGGTGTGTGCGCTCACCTACCTTCCGGCACCCTGGGCTGTCCCGGCCAGGCTGTGTCCTTGCCCCCGGAGCCCTGTGACAAGCCAGCGATGCAGCCAGCCTCCGAGGCTTTCAGCCGTGTTCCCTCCTGAGCTGTCAGCGGCCCCCTCTCTCCAGCACCACAGCGGCTTGGAGCTGAAACAGGCATCACTCCCCAGCCCCGGGGCCTCTCGGGACGGAGCCCGGGCCCAGTGTGCAGACCACAGAGATTTGTTTCCTCCTGAGAAGAGGGCAGGAGGACACTGTCCCGTGTGGTCAGACCTCGAGGAGGACACACGTGAGGTCTTGAGCATAGAGGACAGGGGACAGACCCACAAGCAGGTCAGAGGGAGAAGAGACATCCTTTCAAGCCATGTCCTCTGCCTGCCATCCCCCCACCCTCCGCCTCCTCCAGGAAGCCCTCCTGAGAGCTGGGCAGAAGTCAAGGGCCCCTGGGTAGTGCTGACCAGCCTGCGGATGGGCTATGGTGGGGGCAGCTGCCTTCCCCAGGCCACTAGCGGCACCTCTGTCTGTAGGAGAGCTTAGGGCTGTTTCTCGGGCGGGGTGCGTGGAGGAGCAGCTCGGTGCCAGAGGACACGGGAGAGCGGCCGGTGGGAATGACGGCCCAGGGCAGGGCCAGGTCCGGGCGCCGAGCGAGCTCACCCCGTGCCGGTCTCTCCGCAGGTGGACAGCCCCTTCTGCTCCGGCAGCCCCTCCAGAGGCTTCTTCCCCAGAGGCCCCCCGCGCCGGACCTCCAGCCCCGTGTCTGCTCCCGTGAGGCCCAAGACCAGCCCCAGCTCCCCCAAAACCGTGTTCCCGTTCTCCTACCAGGAGTCCCCGCCGCGCTCCCCGCGGCGCATGAGCTTCAGCGGGATCTTCCGCTCCTCGTCCAAAGAGTCGTCCCCCACGTCCAGCTCGTCTACCTCGCCCGGGGGCATCCGGTTCTTCTCCCGCTCCAGAAAAAGTAAGGCACTGTTGCTCTTCCCCAGGT